GCCAATTCACTCTCTGTGGACTTCAGTTTTCTCATCATAGAATGGAGACAGTATCTCCTTATCACAAGAGGAAGCCGGTGTGGACATACAGTCAGTCAGTGAGGTGAAGAGGCACACCAGTGGCTGCCGAGAAAAAAAAGCAGTGCTCTGTGTTTGGATACGCTTATCTCATCCACAGAGATCCAGACCTTGATTCCTCCAGCATCTTTGAGTCTAAGGAAAATGCCCACAGAAATCTGAAAAGTCACAATGGGCAGAAGGCTCGCTTTTCTTGCTCTGGGTAGATAAGCATGGGTGGGGGTCCTATGTCGAGTTCCAGGTCTCCCCTTTCATCAAGCAGGGACCTGCTGCTGTCTTTCTGAATACTTCCGCTAAGGCATCTTCCTGTCACATTCTTGAGGATCGAAGCACAACTGGGCCATCAGCACTGAGCTCCGCTTTTCAGGTCAATGGCCATGAATGAACGAAAGAGCAGCCCTGGACAGCTACCCAGCCCGGGAGCTGTTGGTTAGTCAGCTTCAGCGCATTACCGACATGAGTGAGCAGTTCTTAGCTCCAAGATGGGAGGCTCGTGACTATCCTGGTATTAACATCCGCTAGCAGTAGGTCTACTTGGGGGAGCTAAAGTGCAGATTTTTGGGACCCACCCAGAGAGCTGGAATTAGTGGGCCTCAGAGTTTGCATTTCAGGTGATCTTAATGCGGTGGTCCTCAGAAACCACAGAGAGAAACGCAGCTCTCCCTGTGAAGGGTGGAAAGGTGCCAAAGGTGCTAAGCCAGGGGTCCAAGTTGCCATCTAGGCTGGGGTGAACGTTCCTGCTGCTTCTGATCCCCCTCAAACGAGCCCCTCTACAGTAAGTACAGCTCCACGCTCTGGTTCCCTCACGCCAAGATGTGAGTGTTATGCCGGACTCCCCTGTTTACTCACACCCCACGTCAGGACCATCTGCAAACCCTGTTGGTTCCACCTGCCGAACATCCCAGATCTGGTACCTTCTCAGGCTCTCAGGCAGCACTTCTTACTGCCAATGCCAGCTCAGTCCCAGTGTACTGTAAGTCACATCCTGTCACTCTTGAGCAGCTTCCCATCTCTCCCTGTCTGAAGCCCAAATCCTTCCCGAGCCCCTGTGTGAGTGGCCCAGCTGCCTCTCTGCTGTCCTGCCCAACATGGAGAGCGCCCTGCCTAACTCATCCACGAGGCTCCCTCCCTCACTTCCCCCAGACCTCTGCCTGAAGATCGCCTTCTCCCGTGGCCCGTGCATTGAGAAGCAGAGCAAAGGCATCACCCAGCCCACACCCTACTGCTCTGCTTAGTCCTTAACACATCCACCTACTAAATACTGCGCTTGTTTATTGGCTGCTGCTAGGAGAATGTAACCTTCAGAGCAGGAATTTTTGTCTCTCATGATCCCAGCTTCATCACTGATTTTTAGGTTGTTTTCCTTTTTTTGGTGAGGGGTACCGGGACTTGAACTCAGGACCTTATGCTTGACAGGCAGGTGCTTATGCTGCTGAGCTATATCCCCGGCCTCTTCAATCACTGATTTTTAGACCAGGGCTAGGTGTTAAAGGAATACACAATAAATACTGCCCAATCATTGAGTGAATAAATAAAGTTGCAAGAGACATGTAGCTTTCTCCTGACAAGCTGCTGTCTTAAATGTGCACATTTATGTGTGCACCCACATGTCAGGCGGGCACGGACAAAGGGTGTTAACTGCCTCCTGTCTCTTTTGTGGCTGCTAGGGGTCTGGGAGGGTGAGTGTGTGCTTGGCTTAGCAAGTTCCACCCTAAAAAACAAGTTTCCATAAAAAAGGTGTTTGAAAAGGTTCTCAGGTTAGCTTACCAATAACTAATTAACTCATCATAATTAGACTTTGGAGTCCGCCATTGGTTTTTTTGTGGGAACATGACTGTTATTTTTTGTGGTACCGCAGATTGAACCCAGGGATGCCGTACCACTGGGCTGCATCCCCAAACCTTAGTTTTTATTTTGAAACAGGCTCTTTTTAAGTTACCCAGGCTTGCCTTAAACTTGTGACCCTCCTGCCCCAGCTTCCCAAGTGGGTGGGACTGCGGGTATACACTCCACACTGAGTTCACCATTTTCTTCATTGTATAGAAAAATATGCTGTGGTTTCTAGTGCACTTGACCCCCTTTGCTAGTGGCGGGTGTTGCTGTGCCTCTTTTTATCTGTGTAAAAGCGTGGATGTACTTGTTTTTTGGTTAAATTAACCGAACTCTGAGGATCTAAGTCTCCTCCACCCACCTCTCCCTGTTTCATAATCCAGTCTTAGAGTAGGAAATGGACCAAAGAACAAGACTGCCCAAAGAACAGAAATTCAGGGAACCCAACACCAATCTATTGTTTCTTTAATTTGCAGACGGAACAGTGTGTAGAATTTGGTTTTACTTTTACCTGAATGGCCTGAAAATGACTACCCTTTAGACCTACATCAGATTGCCTTTTTGCCTTAGCACTCAGAAGAATGGTAAGAAAACGTGATGTTTGGTAATGCTGATGTGAGGCGGGTCCTTCTGATTTAGAGGTGAGGGAGCCTGGGCACTGCCTGTCTGGTGCCCGCAGAGCCACTGGAAGGTAGCGGCACTGCGCTGGGCACCTGCTGTAGTCCCTCATCTCTCCTGTCCACTTACCTGGGAGCCTGCTGGGAGACGATGGTTTGTACTTGGTTGCGATAGTCTGAGCTGGAGAGGACTGGGGCTTTGACGGACCCAAGTTCCAGTCATTCTCACCACGCAGCTTCCCTCTCTTTCAAACCAATGATAGACAGCGATACAGTTTCTCTACAGCGACCTCTGCAATACTTTTACCATGCTCCATTCTGCCCTTTTCGGCTGTGAGTTTTGTCACTTTCCTGTTTAAAAAGTTATGCTTGCACTTTCCTACTTTATTTTATTATTATTATTATTATTATTATTTTGTCTTTTTGAAGCATGGTCTTGCTATGCAGTCCAGGCTGAGCTTGAGCTCACTTTGTAGCCCAGGCTGGTCTCAAACTTGCAATGATCCTCCTGCCTCAGCTTCCTGAGTGCTGGGATTACAGGCATGCGCCACCACACCCGGTTTTACTTCCCTATTTTAAAAAAGGTTGAATTTGGTCTAAATTTCTATTTTTATCAAACTGGAGTTGTCAGCCAAGCTCTCAAAGCCTTATAAAACCAAGTCTTGGGTCACAAGCTTCATTTTTACTATGTCCCGAGTCACATTTTCCGCTTCAATCAGGGTCATCTGTTTGACCCGCTCAAACCAGTTTGCTGGCTTCCGAGGAGCTGCAGGGAGCGCTTGTGGACTGACATCCCATCACTGCTTCTCACACGTGCTTTTCCCAGTGCGCTGTGTTATTCATCCCCACAGTCTCTGCTCTTCCCTACCTTGAAGACTGATTTATAAAACCTCGCTCAAAACTTTCTTGTTGGAACCAAGGCGGACTTTGTCCAAACCTCTAATCTCCTTAACCTCGTGCTCATGTTATGTGTGACTGGGTCCCGCTGGAGATTACAAAAGAGCAGCGATTAAGATTCTGGAGACATACTTCCTGGATTCGGATTCACCTTTGTCACTCGCTGTGTGACTTCCGTGGGGTGTGTCCCTTACCTCCACTTTGCCTCAGTTTCTTTATCTGTGAAATAGGGAATAAAAACAATGCCTGAGGGGGCTCTTGTGCAGACTGAGTTACAGTTAATGGAAGCGTATCTGCTGTATATCAGGCCCTGTTTAAATGTTAACTTTAGTTGCCGATCCAACTCCTTATACTGACTACCTTGTTGTGTATATGGTGCTGCCTCTTCCATTGGTTTGTTTTCTGTTCTTGCCTGAAATGTTCGGTATTAATATTTGATTTCTTCTTTCTTCTCCTGTTTTCTCCTTTTTTAGGCCTCGACCTGGATCACAACTGTGCCCCGTGAGTAGGGTGACCTTCATCCTCGGGGTCTGGCACTCCCCAGCAGCACCAGTGTGTGGGCCTGGACTTCCTTGCCTTCTTTCTTTTTCTGTGTGCTCCGGACTCTTCCTTAGGACACAGGCAGAGGCGTGCACAGCCAGTCTGCCTCCTGGTGGCCATGTTTGGGATTGGCACACTCCTTAGGGTCCCGGGAAGCAGCACCCTTGGGCCCATCGGTGACCTCCCATCCACACCCCATTGCCTTGGCCATACCCTTGATGGACAGTGGCTTGTGCTGCAACTGCCCCGTTTCTCTGGAGTACAAACAGCATTCTTTTTTCTTTTTCTTTAATGGTCAGAGATGGCAGCCACAGTGCTTGGCGCATCAAGCTTACTCAAAGCACCATACCTTCTAGGAAAGTGACTATAGCCCAAGCCTTCTGCTGTTACCCGGACATCCTGCCCTTCCCAGCCCAGCAAACCCTGCAAGGGCCGAGAGGATGTTAACAGCTCCATTCCCCATTCCTTTCCCCTCCTCCGCCGCCTTCTCCCCAGCCTGTCATGTGGGTGTGTGTACCTTCCTAAAGGCTCTTCTTTCTCTGAAACCAGACCTCTCGGTAGGGATGCTACAGGTTACCTTTTCAAGTTCAGGCTTACCTAAGAGAGGAAACAACCGTTAGACTACAATCATCAGCCCTTCTCCTCTGTCTTCTCAGCAGGTGTTATATTAGACCGTGCATAATGGCCGGTATTTTTGACCCACAGAAACGGCAGTTTCCTGCAGGGAACCCCAGTGTGTCCTTATTACTGGGTCCCGTTCATTTGCCGCACTCTGACCTCAGAGCCGCAGCCTTATTTTAGCTCAGCAGCATTGCGACGAGACCCAGATGGTAGCAGCAAGCAGTGCCTCTTGCCAGAAGACAAAGCAAGTGAACTCCCCTGGGCCAAATGTTATTCCTGTCTCTTCAGCTGCAGAACTCTCAGTGTTTGCTACAATCCAGACTGGTGTCACAGAGCAGATGCCGCGTCCACGGTGCAGCTTGGCGGCAGGGCCAGAATCGCTCCATGGTCCTAATGCAAGTTTGTTTTATTTTTCAGTCTTTACGTATAACTCCGCCAGCAAGGAAACCTGTGAGCACCACCACGGCCAGTGCTCCCTGCATGCCTTCTGCACGGACTACGCCACCGGCTTCTGCTGCCATTGCCAGTCCAGGTTTAACGGAAACGGGAGGCACTGTCTGCCCGAAGGTGATTGCCTGGGGCTGCCCTGGGGTTTTTCCTGCTCCTAGATTCCAGCTACTGCTCCGGGCTCTGCTTGCAGACCTTACATCTCCATGACTTAAAGCCCTAGCAACTTGCAGGTGCTGAATAAATGTTGGAGGAATAAATAGGTTTTGTGCTGATTCTCCAATTTGAGGATACCCAGAAATGTTCCCTTCGGCTCCTTAGGACAAAAGAACAGGGGAGAGAGGAAAGGTGGAAGAAAAGAGACTGCAGACAGCTCTCTTTCATACGCGGGTACTTGGTTGGCTAGGGAATCATTTGAAGGACTGGGTAGAGCGTGGGTGTGGGGAGTTTTAAGTGGAATTATTTTGCACACCAACTGTGTATTGCATACCTACTTAGTTACTGTGCACTATCCCCAGCTTGGCTGATGGATTTTCTCTCTCCCAGGAGCACCTCATCGAGTCAATGGGAAAGTGAGCGGCCACCTCCGTGTGGGACAGACGCCCGTGCACTTCAGTGACGTGGACCTGCATGCTTACATCGTGGACAACGATGGCAGAGCCTACACGGCCATCAGCCACATCCCGCAGCCGGCGGCCCAGGCCCTCCTCCCCCTGACGCCCATCGGAGGCCTGTTTGGCTGGCTGTTTGCTTTGGAGAAACCCGGCTTCAAGAACGGCTTCAGCCTCACGGGTGAGCAGGGCCCTGGGAGGGCTGATGGCCTGCTTTCCCTGGTGTGTTCCTTGGGGTGGCACCTGGAGTTCTTACACAGAGAAGGAGGGCTTCTGATTCTGGAGCCCAGATGTGTAGTTTCTGTGCAGAGTCCATTGGGAGCGGTTTGGGTTTGCACAACAGAGTTTTTGAAAGACAGCGATTGCTTCTAAATGTCCTTCCAGCTGTTGAGAAATAGGCTGATGCCATTAGCAGTTGTGTCCTCTTACCCCAATTTGTTGAAGCGTACTTGTTTCAGGCTGCGTTTGAGTACAGATCTATCAAGTAGGAACACACACGAAAAAGTACCTATCAGGCAGTGGAGATGATTTTACTGTACAGAGAGGGTGACTTTCCTCCTCTCACACCTCCGTCCCCATCCTATAGTGGCAGAGGTCAGTGCTGCTCTACTTGGACCTGCACACAGATCTCCTTTCCGGCTTATGGGAAGGAAGATTCTGACCCAGGAGGCCTGTGATTCTACTTCTCCAACAGGCTCGTGGGAGATGCCCTGGCAAGGGTCTCCCTTTGATGGCAAGAGCGTGGGGGATGCTTTCTGACCTCTCACATACCCACCTGCAAAGAGCTTGTTTTCTTTACGACATGTAAAAGAAAGTGCTTCGGAAAAAAAAAGTTCTTTCCCCATCTCCAACTTTAGAGCTGAATGGCTGTTTATAAGTATCTTGCCTTTAATCAAAATATTTGAATAAACCCTTGGGTGAAAAGTAGATAAAATATAGTACAGCAATTTAAATTTGAACTTCAAATAAACAGTGATGTTTTCAGAGTATAAGTTTGCCCCCCATATTGCATGGGACATGTATGAAAACGTACATTGTTTATCTGTAACTCAAGTTTAATTGGGTGTCCTGGTTTGTGTTTTTTTTGGTGTGTGTTTTGATTTTGTTTGCTCTTTTGTGTTTGCCAGTTCTGGCAGCCTTAATAAAGTCAAGGATGTTCAGGAGAGTTTATTACTCACAGAATACAAGGCCCAGCACAGAGAGGCAGCGTGAGGGAAGGCAGGGCACAACCCTTCTGGAATAAGCAGGTTGGGAGCTGGTGGTAACACTTAGTTTGGATAGGAAATAATCTCCTTAGACAGGATGTAAATAATCTCCTTAGCTGTGGAAATTAGGAAATTATTCATTTTTGCAGTGCAGGGGATGGCCTTTTTTTGCAGTGGGGGGGGGAGCGGTAACTGGGAATCGAACTCAGGACCTCTGGCTTACCAGACAGGCGCTGTGCTGCTGAGCTATATCCGCAGCCCTCCAGGGCCTCTTACACTAGGCAAACTCCACCACTGGCTGCCGTAATTACTTAAGTAAGGCCTCTTTTCACTTCTGTGCTGATTTTTTTTTTCCCCCTCTCCAGGTGCTACCTTTGTCCATAATGTGGAAGTGACTTTCTACCCAGGAGAGGAGAGGGTTTGGATCACTCAAACTGCCGAGGGACTCGACCCAGAGAACTACCTGATCATGAAGACCAACATCCAAGGCCAGGTGCCCTCGATTCCAGCAAATTTCATGGCCCACATCCCTCCGTACAAAGAGCTTTACCATTACTCAGACTCGGGTATGTGTGACCAGTGACATCTACAAAATGGGAATAGTACCTACCTCACAAGATACCGTAGTTCTGAGAATTAAATGAGTAGCTACGTGGAATGTTCTAGAACACTGGCAGCTGAGATGAGATCAGTATTCTTTTTATTCTTATGAAATACATAGTGTAAGTGAGCAGAGTGCTGGCTACTCTACACTGGAACATCAGTATCCTTAACCAATAGTATTTATACTATTATTTATGTTTATATAAATACCATTTATAGTATCAACAATACTATAGTATCAACAAGAGTATCAACAATAACCCCGCCTATGGGAATGGGTAGAGATGGTATAATCATATACAGTTTTTAACCAGGCTGCTGTGGGGCACAGAAAAATACTGGTTTATTAGAATTTGTCCTGTAACTTTGTTTCAGCTGGATTCAGCCTGCTTTAAAGTCACAGAAAGATGTGCAATATTGTAAAACTTACCTGAGATTTGGAGTCCGGAGATAGAATTCGCATGCTGAACTTGGCACTTAAAATCTGTGGGGGAAGATCACTTAGCATTTGTTTCATCTTTCGCATGAGAGTAAAGGCATCTTTTCTGTCCATATTACCTGTTTGTAATTGTGCAAGATGTGATGTGTTTCGGAAAGTGTTACCTGCGTGTCAAATACGGCATGGTCACGGTAGCCAGTGTGTGGCACAGCTGGAGTCGTGTCTGCGCTCTGGGCCTGGCTTCGCTCATGGTGTGAGGGCTGGAAGCTGGACAGGTGACACAGGGAAACCTGGCCCGTGCCCAGAATGGCCCAGAGCCTTGTGACTGCCTGCACTGCACTCCCAGCAAGCCTCTCCCTTCTCAGAGGCGTGCGCGCTCGCTGAAGCGTGAGACCTAGAAAGGCGTCGCTCTGTGCAGTGTACGGATGGGCGGTTCAGCGCTCTGGGTGCAGAGTCAGAGGGATTTGCATTCCAGCAGCAGCTTTCCACATCCCGGCCCTGTGTCTCAGCCTCTCTCAGTCTCTGCCCCCAGGGTGGTGGTGCCACGATGACAGCGCTGGCTTGCGGGGCTGCCGTGAGGGTGAGCAAGGCGGGATGTCCGCAGTAACACTTACTCCTGGCAGATCATGATGGTAGCAACGGTAGCGCCTCCTCCTCAGCCCTGTGGCTTTGCATCCACTTAGTTTCCTGGGCTTCCCTTGCAAGTTTCCCACAGAAACGCGGGGAGTTCCCGAGGGAACGTGCTCTAGGAATTAGATGAAAGAGTGTGTGAGGATGACCCACCCCACATCAAAACCTCTGTCCTTTATATTTTACAACAGTGTGACTGTAAAATGTCTGTTGCAGCTGTGACTGTCACGAGTTCCAGAGACTACTCTCTCACTTTTGGAGCCATCAACCAAACCGGCTCGTACCGCGTCCACCAGAACATCACTTTCCAGGCGTGTAGGCACGCCGGACACCAAGCTGTCCCCACGCCCCAGCAGCTGTCGGTGGACCGAGTCTTTGCCTTGTACAGTGAGGATGAAGGAGTGCTTCGATTTGCTGTGACCAATCAGATTGGCCCCGTGGAAGGTAAAGTTTCTCAGCTTTATTGTTGTGCAGAAAGTGATCTCCTTGTGCAAAACACGATCCCCTTGTGCAAAAAGTGATCTCCAAGTGAGCCTTGGGACAATGCAGAGGTTAGCAAGTGTTAATGAGTTCCAGGCTCTGTGGAAGGTGCTGGGTGCAGGGGTGAATAAAGCAGGGGTCCTGTCTCTGAGGTGGAGGTAGGACTGGAACTTCTAGAATAGTACCCCAGCCATGGTCAGGAAGCACAGCCAAGTACCTGAAGCTGGTCTGTAGCGACCCCCGATAGTATGTGCCACTCAGGCTACGCTTGTGCACAAGGAGAGGCCAGGCTGGGGCAGGGAGCAATGAGGACAGACATTTGTTACTGCTGTGACAAGGCCGGGGAGCTTAGAAGTGCGGGAAGATGTCCCCCCAGGAACTGACGTTTTTAGCTGGTGCTGAAAGGATGAGAAGAATTTCACCAAACCAAGGCGGGGGAAGAAGTGCCTGGAAAAATAAAGTTGAATTTTCACATAGGAAAAACCCACAGTAACATTATACTTCACGGTGAAAGATTGGAGGCTTTCAAGATCAGCGAGAGGACGAGGGTGTCTGCTCCTGCCGCTGCTGTCTCACACAGTGCCGGAAGTGGTAGCCAGCAAGCAGTCAGAACGTGAGATAGAGTGGGTCTGAAAGGGTAAAACTGAAATTGTCTCTAGTCTCTGATAACATAATCTGCCTCACTCCTGGTACAAAAATCAGCTCAAGATGAGTCAAAGTCATAAATTTAAAAGCTAAAACTTTTAGAAGAAAACAGAAGGGTGTGTTTTTGTGATCTTGAATTTGGCAATGGTTTCTTAGCCATGACACCAAAAGCACAAGCATCACGACAAAAAAAAAGAGCCTGATGTGGTGGCACATGCCTGTAATCCCAGGACTCAGGAGGCTGAGGCAGGAGGGTCGTTGCAAGTTCAAGACCAGCCCAGGCCACAAAGTGAGCTCAAGTCCAGCCTGAACTGCATAGTGAGACCCTGTCTCTAAAAGGGGGGGAACTGGGGATATAGCTCAGTGGCACAAGTGCCTGCCTGGCAAGTGCAAGCTCCTGAGTTCGATTCCTGGTACCAAACAAACAAACACAAAAAAATAAAAAACAGATGGATGCCATCAAATTAAAAAGAATTGAGCTTTAGAGGCCATTAATAAAGGAAAATACAACTCATGGAATGGAAGGAAGTATCTTAAGTTATATTTACTAAGGGATTTGTTCTACAATATATGAAGTACTGTTACAAATCAAAGAAAAATCTAAAAGATGGACAAAGGCTCTGAAAAGACGTTTTTCTAGAGATACTCAAATATCCAATGAATGACGAGTTCAACAGCATTAGCTGTCAGGGAAATGCAAATCAAAACCACAGTGAGATACTACTTTACATCATGCGGATGGCTTAAAAAATACCCAAACATTGGGATGTGGAGAATTGAGGCTCCCTTCTCTGCTGGTGAGAGTGTCAGATGGTGCAGCTACTATGAAAAACAGTACCAATCTCTCAAAAAATTAAACACAAAGTTACCATTTGATAGCAATACGAATCATTACAGATCTAAGAGAAATGAGAACTTAATGTCCCCACAGAATTCATAAAAACATCCTAAATGTCCATCAGCTGATGAACACACATAAAATAATCTTGAGTCCGTACAATGGAACGTTATGCAACCACAAAGAGAACTGTACAGTCTACAGCACGGATGAGCTTTGAAAATATCACGCTAAGTGGAAGAAGCCAGGTACACATACACACGCACGCAGAGCATATTGTGCGATTTCATTTATATAGAATTTCCAGAATAGGCAACCCACAGAGACAGCAGGTAAATGTTGCCCAGGGCGGAGGGGGAAGAGAAAGAGAATGAATTAACAGCTAAAATATACAGGGCTTCTTTTGGGGGTGGTGAAATGTTCTAGTGGTTGAGCGTCCTGATGTGGGAGCCCTGTGGTTTCCCATGGTTTAGATGCAAATGATTGTCTTTCCCAGTGAGTAATAATCAGAGCCTGAACCCCTGCTGTCTTCCAACCACCAGTCAGCCCCCAGCTGCGATGCGCTCGGCTTCCCATGGGCGTGGCTGTGATGTCCTAAAGCAGGACCCAGGAACGCTTCCTGTCCATCCTGTCCAGAGGCCCTTTCGAAGAGCTCAGATCTGAGGCAGAGGGCTGTGCAGTGAAGCCAAACGGCTGTCCCTTTAAGGAAACCACTCTTCCCCTCTTGATTAAATGAGCAAATTGGTTCCACATTCTCGTCAGAGTAGTGAGACTGAACCGTGAGGTGGCTCAGGAAGGGTACTGCTGCTCTCACTGTGACAGGAGAACAGGTAACCCCCGTAAGGAATGGACAGCGAACAGATTTTAGAATTGTGTTCTGAAAATATTTGGAGGTCTGATGATGTAGTTGAGTAATACAGTGGTTGCTTAGCATGCCAGAGGCTCTGGTTCAGGCCCCAGCACCACAAAATCTATGTATTTATTTTTAATTTAATTTAATTTAATTTTGTCTTTTTGAGACAAGGTCTCGCTATGCAGTTCAGGCCGGCCTTGAGCTCACTTTGTAGCCCAGGCTGGTCTCGAGCTCACAACGATCCTCCTGCCTCAGCCTCCCGAGTGCTGGGATTACAGGCGTGCGCCACCACGGCCGGCTTATGTTTTTATTTTTAGAAGCAAAGGGCTCTGTATGTGGTTCATTGCTCTGCTGCCAGTGAAATTCTTAATTTTTTCTTTAACAATGGGCTCTGCATTTTCATTTTGCATTGGACTCTGTGAATTATATAACTGACCCTATCTGCCAGTACATTTAAATCACTAGCATATAATTAGGGACATTTTCTCCTCAACTTCGTGTACCATCGTGTATCTCGTCCAAGATGGTAAGTCACCTCTGAGGTGCCTTTACAATTTATCTTTGTCCTAATGCCTAGCAGGGTGGCAAGCTTTTGACATCCGTGCTTGCTCACTAATCTTCGTTGGAATGTACCACGGTGACATTTTGATGTTGCGAGGTACTGAGTAAGAAGGCTCAGCCTTTGTATTTATAAATTAAAACGTTCTTAAAATTAATTTCCCCTTTGGCAAGGTATGCCAGGCATTTTGCACAGAATCTTCTCCTAAAATGGAGAACTGGTGACTGGGGAGAATCAGGTTCTTGTCTTGTGTCGGGTCTTCGGTGAGGACATGACCCGGCTGCTCCCAGCTCCGACACCCGCTGGATCTGCCTCTAGGGCTTGGTCTACAGCCTCAAGTTAACTCAGCAGCTACCACCGCAGTGCTGTGCTTCCTTCCTGTCTGCCAAGAGGCCAGAGCAAAAGATTTCCAAGGATGCCTGTGTGGTTTGGCATATGCTGGCATAAGCTCATCAGGTTTAAAAAGTGTTGGAGTTGCGTGCTGGTGTTTTCTTTCGGCAAAGATTCTGTCACTCTAGTTCATGGCACTGAGGATAAACCATAGCCCTCCCCACTGTCAGGCAGTGATATGGGATTGGTGATAGGGAGGTAGGGTGAGATAGGAGCATAAGGTGATGTTTCCTATAAAGTGGATGCTGGGAGTTTACCAGAAAGTGAGGGTGGCTCGGTCAAGGCATCTTTTTGACAGCAGACTAGTAGAGAAAACCGAAGGAGTTGGGATTTGGGCAGTGCGGAGATAGGCAGACGTCCTGAGGACTAGGAGGAAGCGTCTATGAGGCAGGCTGCAGCAGCAAGCCCTGGAGCTACTTTGGGCGGGTCTCACCCATATGCTGTCCTGTGGGGAGACAGAGACGGGATGAGAAGGACAGAGGATCCAGGAGGGGATGCGTCAAAGCGCATCTACAGGTGCGTGGAACTGGTTTCCTGAATGGCGAGGGAATTGTCCAGAGCAGAAGGATGTGGAGTATAAATCTGCCTTGAAATCTTTTGAGCCTAAGGTTAGCATTAATAGTAAGAACTGAGACAAAGCTGAAACCTCCAGTGAGGATGACCATGGTCCCACTGAGGGAGGAAGAAGGAACGCAGTTACTGGATACCCGTCGACTTGCTGGTGTGAGGATCGCCATCCAAATACATTATGTTGGGATTTTAAAGGAAATTCTGGCAGATACAAACATTTGTTACTTCTATTTTACACCTGAGGAGTCTGAAGTAAACAAAGTTTAGATTCATCATCTGGGCATGGAGCTCCCTCCAACACTGCTGTCTTTGCTGGGCTTCGATGTGATAACCTTATAAAGTTGTGGTTGTAGCCAAGTGGCAGGGAGCATGGGCCACAGAATGAGGACGTCTGTATTTTTGTGTGGCTCCATCCACCTCGTCTGCCCATACAACTTGAGGTTACTTGGCCTCTGGGTGATGCATTAAAAGTAAAGATATAATAATAAGGATTTAATGGAGCACCACGTACTCAGGGTTTAGAACAGTGCCAGGTACATAAATGCTCAATGAGCATGATCCATTGTGTTGTATCTAGAAGCAAAGTTCTTTAGGGAAGATTTCAGATGTTTACAGTCATCACAGCGTCACTGTCATGGATGGATCCATGACAAAGTTAAATCTTGAAAGCAGGATTTTTAAATTGTATTATACCCATAGAATTAGCGAATCTTAGTGAGAGACTATCCCAAATTTAGAGCCAGAAATCTGAACATTGAGTCCATGCTGAACCACCTCCTGTGTGGCTTTGGGTAATTTTTCCCATGTCTCTGGCTCACTGTCCTTACCTGTGAAACTCCCCATCATGGGGATGGCAGCCCAGAACGCAGTTACCTTGAGAATCACAGCAGATAGAGCAAGAGTTCCCTTAAATAAAAGGAGAGGTTGGATATTTTTATTCCCTAAATATAAACCCAGTGAAAGCAAGAAAATGTCTACAGGACAAACAAAAGGAAACCATTCTGGAATTTAAACCTGAGGTGCAGATAATCCAGCCTAGCTTTGCATGTTAATAACTTAGTAGAGTCTCCACCTGTGACGTGACACACACATGCGCCTGCTGTCAGTTCCAGGGACTCTTCTCTGCCCGTCCTTCCTTGCGTATATTCTCTGTAGATCAGCCAGCTTGTGTTTGTTCCCTCTTTGCCCATGCAGTGGACTCAGAGCCTACTCCAGTGAATCCTTGCTACGATGGGAGCCACACATGTGATACGGCAGCACGGTGCCACCCGGGAACGGGTGCGGACTACACCTGTGTGTGTGCACCCGGCTACCAGGGAGATGGACGGAGTTGTGCGGGTAAGAGCCCTGCTCTGCTTCCGTCACCTGCCCCTTGTTTTCCCGTTGCCGTCTCCATGTTTATGTGTGTGGATGGCTCTCCATCTTTCCGTATGTTTATGTCTCTGTGATCTCCACTCATTAATACTTTTTAGCAACTGTTAATCTGAATGCAGTTATATGAAAACGAAAAGATCGTCAAGTTGGGTTTGAAAAGAGGGTTCAGGGTGGGTGTTTTGGACTGAGGCTGTAGAAAGAAAACATGCTTTGCCATTCTTGCATGTTTTAAGGTTTATAATTTTGACTTGAATTAAGTAGATTTTCTAGAAGGCATGTTTTCAGATTTTCTTTAAATTTCAGACATTTTGTTTCCTTCACCTGTTATATCTCAGAAAGCAACTAGAAATTTCTTCATATTATAAAATTAGTAGTGTGTGCTTTTCTTCTGAATATCTATTATTTTTAAACGTTTAAAGAATTCTTCAAATAGTCATTCAAAAATGATCTCCTTGGGCTCACACTGCAAACACTTGAAATGAATTTTTACTTCTGATTATCTGCATTTTGCATTCATTCCTGTTGCTTAGAAATTCTTCATCCTGACTCCTGTTGAGTCCGTCAGCCATCAGTCTCATGGAAGCATCTTAGCTGAGCTAGACTGCGTTTTCGGACCTTGCTCTTCTGGGACCCTTGATTTCAACAGCACTTTTCTGTTCTCATTTCTTCTTAGATGTAAATGAATGTGCGACGGGCTACCATCGCTGTGGCCCCAACTCTGTGTGTATCAACCTGCCGGGAAGCTACAGGTGCGAATGCCAGAGTGGCTATGAGTTTGCGGATGACCAGCACACGTGCATCTGTGAGTACCAAAATTGCTTTGTTTTTGGATCACAATGGTGCCCAATCTTGCTTTTTAAAATTCTGCTGTCCAGAAGCTCTGCTCTGTGATTTTCCTGAAAACATGTACAGTGGAATAACCCAAGCCTCTGGTTCAGTTCAGCCCTGTTTATTGGAATAGTTTTCCCATAAATAGGTATTTTTCATGATAAGTTGTGAGAAGACATTCTCAGGTAAGATTCACAGCCAGCAAGACTGTGTTTCTCTCTAGGGAATGTCCAGCTGTGGGTAGAGCTTGTGTAGTACTCAATTTTAGATTTGTAATTCAGAGGTCTTGTCTCACATGAGGATCCAAAGATCCTCATCCGTAAGGTACTCTTCCATGATTCTAAAACATGCTTTGGACCTAAAAGTGGATCCAAAACAACTAGAATTCTAAGTTCATCCCACCAGTAGAGTTAGATTGTAATGGAGAAGTCACACACTTTAATCCAGTGTGATGACAACGTAGCAGTGATGTGGACACTGTGTGTGTGTGTGTGTGTGTGTGTGTGTGTGTGTGTGTGAATTGCACCATAGACTTACACACTTTAGTCAAGGTCTGTTTGGATGGCTGATTTTCATGCCTAATACTTTAACTTCAAAACTGTATGTGCTTCGCAAACCTTTATGCGTGTAGCAGCCATCTAGGAACGTTGCTAATTGAGATTATGACTCCGGCCCTGCGAGCAGGTGTGCATGTGCCCCACGCCGTGGGTGGTCTGGGGGGAGCTGGGAGGGGCAGGGCTCGCTCATTCACAGTGCTGAGCTCTTGCGCACCTCCGCCTTCTTTTTCCAGTGATCGCCCCTCCTCCCAACCCCTGCGAGGACGGCAGCCACAACTGCGCCCCTGCTGAGCAAGCTCGCTGCGTTAACCACGGAGATGGCACGTTCAGCTGTGCCTGCCTGCCAGGCTACACTGGCAGCGGGTACCAGTGCTCCGGTGAGTATCAGCGGGCTAGCCTTGGGGACCCTGGAGGCTGCGGGATGCACAGCGCCATAGAGATGGGGGACCTCTCCCCTCCTCCCTTTGCCTCAGACAGCCTTGGCATTGCCCAAAGAGAAAAAGACATCCCTAGAGTCAGGAAGGGAGGTCTGGGAGGACTTCCCCGGGTCAAGATGGTTGTCCTTGGAGGAGACACCCCGGTATCTGCCGGCTTTAGTCTTCTGCTCTTTGGAGGTAGTGCTCAGCTGGAGGGACTGACACCTACAACTGTTTTTCATTTTTTCCATCTCTTCCCAAACATCTGGTGAAATGGAGTGTTGGGGGGCATGCTACTGAGATCTGCTCTGAAGAGATCTACTCTGGTATCCTCCGTACATCAGCCCTAGGGTCAGATATATGACAGCAGATGCAGACAAGTTCAGGAAAGAACAAGAACCAGTCTCTTGGGGTTCTGTTCCCCCAAACAGGCCCCTCTCTGTGCATTCCAAGCACTTTTCTCACCATTCTGTCATCCCCAGCTCCTCGTTTTATCAGAACTTTGTGTGTTTCAGCATAATCACATACAACCAGAAGGTCTTTTTTTTGGTACTGTGAATCAAAGTCAAGATCTCACACTTGCTAGGCAGGCGCTGTGCCGCTGAGCTATATCCCTGGCTCCAGAAAGTTTTTTTTTTTTGAGACAGGGCTTTGCTATGCAGTTCACGCTGGCCTTGAACTCATTTTGTAGCCCAGACTGGCTCTGAACTCACTGTGATCCTTCTGCCTCAGCCTCCCAAGTGCTGGGATTATAAGCGTGTGCCACTAATAGTTTATGTAACCTTACTGTATAATATCTGTACAAAGGTACTGCTGATCTAGTTTTATGAAATTTGCACTTAAGGAGTACAACAACCGCATATCAAGGGCAATTGAAGAATACCATGAATGTGTATATTTTTAAACAGCTTATCACAGTAAAAGACACTTTGCCAAGAAGATAGGATGTGTTTGAAGCAAGGAAGAGTGATTTATATATTGTGAGGGAGGTTGACGGCAAGGCGTCTTTTACTGTAATAAAGTTTTAAAATTAAACATTCACTGTGTTTTTATCACACTTGTGTTTTCTCTGACAAATTTAAATGGGAATGCTTAACCCTGTATTCTTGTTTAGGGACTTTATAAATTCTGTACGATGTTTTAAAGATAGATTTTAGAGAGTAAGGTATGTGTTGCAATAATATCCTTTTCTATTTGGAAGGCTTCTTCCTCCGTTGTTTCTCTTACCCTCTCTCCTTTTCTTTCTTTTTTGTTCATGGTCTCACTCTTACTCTGCCTCTTTCTCCTCTCTCCCCCACCGGCTTACCTTTGTAGGTGTGGGGGCCAGGAGGGCATACACAAGCCTGACGACGGAAATGACGCTTTTTCCACCCCTGTGGAATTTATTTAGTGCCATTGAACCTACCACCAGCTGTAAGAAATGAGAAGGCGCAGAGAACAAAAATTTTGTCTACAGAATTTCATATTGGCTGCTCAAGTCGCGGAGATGGTGCTTTTAGGGTATTTATTCCTTAGCTCTTCAACTTAAAGAAAAATAGTTGAAATTAACTGCAGCTTAGGTATGATGAATATTCTTCAGAATGTTCATGCAGGTAAAGCGCTTCTTGCTTTAATCATTTTTAGAATCTTCGTCTTTCCCTCCTCTTGTGTCTATTTGACTGACAAGATTTTGGTTACCTTCTGGGACCATAGTAGGACCTTGAAGTTGGCTGTTCTTCCATGCTGAGAGTTTCAGGGTATTGGCATTCTTGGTTGTTACCGCCCTCTTGCTTATTCCTGACATTTTCAGTGTGCCCTGTTTATCTCTGGTCTTCTTATCTCCGGAACTCAGAAACATAAAAATACTGTATACCAAACCCATCCATTGCTTCCCTGTGTATTAGCATCTTGGTCATTTCTGTTGTCACTGGGACACAATACTCAACACCCACCACTTACAGGCAGAGAGGTTTATTTTGGCCCGTGTTTTCAGTCCACGATCAGCTGGCTCCAAGGCAGGAAGGGCTGGATGAGGGAAAGCTGCTCAGGCCGTGGCACAGGAAGCAGAGAGAGAGATCACACAGGAAGCGTGACCCACCTCTTCCGGCCAGATCTCACTCCTAGCAAGTCAGCTGTAGCGGCCCCATGATTCAGTCACCTTCCAAACACATGAGGCTTTGAGGCCACTTTAGATCTAAATCATAACAATCAGCTACCAATTACTGCATGACAACACCAGAACATATCAGCTTAAAGCAGGACATAGGCGTTACCTGTGTGTCAGGCGCCTAACTCGGGTTAGCACGCTGTGCGTTAGGACCTCTCTGTAGGCTGCCAGAGCATCCTGAGCACGCAGATACTCCTGGTGATGAGCAGGCATCAGGTCTGTTGGGCTGAGACCTCAGCTTCTTGCTGGCTGCTGCCAGTCTCCAGTTTCTTGCCGCCTGGGCCTCTCCTACATGACAGCTTGATTTATTAAACCCGGTGAGACCCAGTCTGCTGGAAGGTGGGAGTGCCCCTTATAAAGACGACCTCTCACCCATGCCACTTTATTGTATCGGTTATAAGCAAGTTACTCAAAGGAAAGGGATTACACAAGACCCTGCCACGGAGTAGGAGTCCCGGGGGCCATTGGGGAGCTCACCCGCTCAGCCAGTCCCACGTGGTAGCCTTCTGAGTGGTCAGATAGTGCTTAAGGCGAGGACAGATTGTCATTTTTCTAACACCTCTGCGTAAGTTCACACAGTAATCAGGACAGTAACGCAGAACAAGCTTACCATGTGCGGCTGTGTAGGTGTGTGCTCATATTTAAAGGTGTTCCACAGTGTGCACACGTCTCGACGACCGGGGATGTTGGATGGAGGCTCTGTTTTGTGGGAAGTGTGCATGCTCGAGTTGGACCGCTTTTACTACATCAGGCTAACCGTAGGTGTGGGCGTGGGCTTTCCTCCAGCCGTGGTTTGTGCCCTGGAAAAGCTGTGCTTGGCTTTGGGTTCTCAGTCTGGACTGAGTCACTAGCAGAAGGCTCTTCTCCAAATAGAGTTAAATCTTCTCCAGCTTTGCTCCATCTGGAGTGATTTCGATGCTGTGTCGGTGTGAGCTGGATGTGTCTCAAGCACATTTGTCCTCATGGATCGTGATGACTTTGCTGCTGGGAGAGCAGATTGTCTCGAGTTGGAACCTTCCCAGGGTGCAGAGCGCGTGAGTGGAGGAGGCTGGTTTGCAGATGGCCTGTTACCCAGCGCTGTCATCGCTCAGGACCAGCGTGAATGGAGGTGCTGACATCATCCTTGGAATTTCTGTGCTCAGAATATAGATGTAGGATGAGGCCTAGTAAAGTCAGTATGGCCACAGGGGACTGAAAAGACATTTGTTATACTCACTGGTCCTGGAGGTCACCTACCAAAGCGCACAATCTGCAGGATGTTTGGACAGATAGCAGAGAGCAAGAGAGCACAGACTTGGGCCAAAGCAGTGATTTTACTGGGGTCCCGGGTGGGATCGAGATTCATTGGCACTGGGAAATGACACTGGGCTCGAAAGTGCATGGTGGGGGGACCGGAGTTCAGTGGTTGGAGTCCAGCTGGTTTCACTCAGAATTAGGGCCAAGGACAGTGAAGCAGAAAAGCATGAGCTCAGAATGGAGGGTTTTCAAGCACATTTTTCAAACCAGTTTTGGGGGAGCTTCATAGGTGATAAAGATGGGCCGGCATTGACCACCTTTCACTGCCAGTGTGGTAAAGGGGAGTGTCTTTTCCTTGGCCATGCTTGTCTTGACCTTTGTCTTCTCTCAGTTCCTGAAGATCTCTCCACTGGCAGTATCTAAGGACAGCGCCTGCCTTGCCCAGGGCTGAAAGTCCTTTGAAAAGGGGTAGGGTCCTCCTCTTCTAGCTCCCTTCCAACCTCATGGCGGGAGCAACCCCTGCCCCGATGGCTGGCTGTGGGGCAGCTGGCTGGAGTCCAGTCTGAGGTGGAACTGGAGGCTGAGATTTGGGGAGCCTTCCCTGCCCTGGATTTTTGGGGCTCAGGGATTTCTACGTGTGATGCCTTCGGTCTCTTTAAGGGCTTTCTCCTTCTCACTGGGCAGTAGCGCCTGGGAGAGGAAGGCTGGTCTTTCAGGTCTGCTCAGAATTCTTTAGCCATGGGTTTTAGTGACATCAGTAGCTTGGTCGCTTTGGGGAATTCCCACTCCCTTAGTTCACAAATATCCATAAGAAACTGCTCCTTGGGCTCTACAAATAGATCCTGTGTCTCAGGAATTCCTGCTTCCGGTCATTGCTTGGGGTTCCTGTTATTATTAGAAGTACTTCTAGCCTAGTACTGTCAATGGCTTTATTTCCTTCACTTGGCTGGATGTTCATTTTTGCCACTTTGGTTTTCCAGCCAGGTTTACAACCCTTGGGCCTGGATGGTCACCAGCTTTGCCCACTTGGGCATTGGAACTTTCCTTTTGAAAAGACAGGGTGCCCACAAGGAGCGTGAAATGTGACAATGCTGATTTGTTTCTGGATAACTGAGGAGCTAATTGAAACACCTTGCTTATTTCTAACCTTGCAGATATATTGGTAACTACTTCCTGACTTAGTCCATGAGGTGAGGGTGACCAGGAAGGCCCAGCCGTTCCCCCAGGAAAGCCTCTCTGGATAGTCAGACTTGATGGCTTTGGCCATGGAGGATTTATTTTAGACTCAAAGGAACTGATACGTATATATGCGGGCTAAATTCCCCTCAGGTAGAGGTTAAGCAGAATGCGGATTTGCTAATTACAGTACAAGAGTTTCCTCTCTAGTGAAGGGAATGTCTATCTGTAGTGTCACATGTGTCCACACACGGGAGGGTGGCCACAGCAAGATGGCGGAGAACCGTAGAAGAGAGCATATCCGGGTCAGGAGAGGCCGGCTGAGGAATGCCCCCATTCCCAGCCCATTCACATCAGTTTCCGGGGTGGGAGTCTCAGGCTTCCCAGACAGTGCACCCTCAGTCACACAGTCATCCTGTCGGTCTTTTTCAGTCACACATTCTTCAAAAGCTTCTAAATCAGACACAGTGGTGCACACCTATGAGTCCAGCACTCTGGGAGCCCGAGGCAGGAAGAACTCAAGTTCAAGCCCAACCAGGGCAACTCACTGACCTTAGTGAGACTCAGTCTCAAAATGTAAAAAGGGCTGAGGGTATACCTCAGTGTGAAGTCCCTGGGTTCAGTCTTTAATACCAAAAAAAAAAAAGAATGTGAGTGATGCTGTGTTTTATTTTTTCATCAAGCCTCGATCAGATCTGGACCCTTTGTTTATCCTCCTTTTACTCTGAAAGTCTTGCTGCCCTTAGGCGAGCTCCTCTCCTCCACCTGGCATTCGGTTAACACATCCACTCTCAGTATCTTGTCTCTGGGAGGGGCGTGTTTGAGATGCGTGGCCTACTATTGTCAGCCTGCGCTCACTTTGGTTACTAAAATCAAAAGGGATATGAATTGGCTTTTGTTGGAAGTGTTCAGATGTCATACTTGAGAAATATGATTATGAACATTCTCAAAATAACATGTGGAGCCCCAAGGGCCCTGAATTGTTTATACTGATGTATGCCTGACAAATTTAGACTTTCTTTGTTTATGTGTTAATTCAAAGGTGGTGGTACCTTTTCTTTTTTTTTTTTTTTTTGGTACCAGGAATCAAACTCATGACCTCAGGCTCACCAGGCAAGAGCTTATGCCGCTGAGCTATATCCTTGGCCCCCATTTTTTTTCTTTTTCTCCTTTTCATCTTTTAAAAGTGGAAAATAAAATTTCTGGTTAAGGGCGGTTCCCATCAGGCAAGACCGAATGTGCTTCTAACTCAGTTGAAAAAAAATCTTCGGAGCCTCAGCTGGCTCCTCCGCACCTCTGCGTGGATATTATAGGAAGATGGTGTCAGCCATGGAAAGGGAAAGAAACTATTGTTACCTATATTTATCTTTATTGTGATGTTACCAAAAGGAAATTAATGATTTATAGTCCAAAGGTTTGTTTAAAGGTAATAACTTCCGGGAATTCACTGCAGATGAAAGATGCTCTAGAAATATACAGCAGGATATTTTTATATGTGGGGGGCCACTTGTTTGATTTCCACACTGAACATTCTTGGTTTTTGGTTTTTTTTTCGGCAGAGTCTCATTATGCAATTCAGGCTGGTCTTGAACTCAAATGTGTAGCCTAAGCTGGCCTCAAACTCATGGCGATTCTCCTGCCTCAGCCTCCCTAGTCCTGGGATGATGGGAATGTGCCACCATGCTTACTTTACTCTGAGTGTTCTTAGTCTCAGGTGTTAACTCATGTGTACCTTGGCCTTTTGTTCCCTTGTGAACTTACTTTTCAGTACTGACATTTTTCTGCTCATGAGCCTTATTGATCTGCATGCACTGAGCCGTGCAGTCACACAAGTGGTGGACAGTGAAGTCACGTCTTCCTTCCTTTCCTCTGTTCTTGCCCCCTGCAGATGTTGATGAATGTTCGGAAAACAGATGTCACCCAGCGGCCACCTGCTACAATACCCCTGGCTCCTTCTCCTGCCTTTGCCAGCCTGGGTATCACGGAGACGGCTTTCAGTGCACATATGGTAAGGTCTGTGGGGCCACATCAGGCACTCACCGCTCTGGCTCCTTCGATGGTGTTGTTCTCTGATCCTCAGCCCACACTCAGTTTAGCCTGGTCTGGGAGCCCTGTGGGTGGAGTTTTCAGGCCCCTAGTTCCCCGCTGCTGCCTGCTTTACCCATAACAAGTTATTCGCACCCACACAGGCATGGGGTAGGAGCCGGCCCTCATCCTTCCCAATGGCAGCTCTGGTTCACTGTCCTCGTCACCTGTTTCACTGTGATGAGTATGATTGCGATGCGATGCCTCGTGGGCTTATTGAACAGCAGCCATTTGCACTAGGGAGGCAGGAGTAAGTATCCTGAGGACGGCTCTGAGGGAGCAAGGCCAGCACTATGCAGTGATGGCCACTAGCCTGGAGCTTCTCAGACTTCAGCTTTGTGTCTCAGGGGCTGGACGGAGTCTGACGTGTCCTCTCCAAAGTCTCTGGGCATGTTCATGTGGATGCCGTGGACTGCTCTACTCTCTGAATGCACCACTGGACAGTGCTTTTGGCCCATGAGGACAGGGCTACCTTACACATGAACAGTGTGATTAGAGAATATGGCGAGTATTTAAATTTTTAAAAAAATTATTAGGGTAAAAGACACTGATCCCTCCTCAAAATACTGCCCTTGTTTGAACACACTTATCCCATCGTTCTTGCCACTTTCTGAAGCAGTTCTAGGGTTCTCTTTCATGAGTGTCTTTAGTTGCACTGTCCTGGCTGCCTCAGGGTCCTGAATTGATTCAAAATATTTACCTTTCATGGTCATTTTGACTTTTGCAAAGAGCCAGAAGCTGCCTGGTACCGGACCCAGTAGGTAAGATGGATGAGGACACACCGTAATGCTTTTATGAACCTGCCTTTCCATTGGATGATGCTTGGCTGCAGCAGTCACCAGGTTTTTTTTTTTTTAATCACACTTTGTAAAGACACTCACAAAAGAGGGCTTCCAGGTCTGCTTCAGAAAGTGGCAAGAAGGATGAGATAAGTGTTTGAAGTGAGGAGGAGTTTTTTGAAGGGTATTAAGGGCAATGTGTCTCTTCCTGTAATAACATTTTTATTTTTTAATTTTTTTGAGACAGGATCTCACCATGTAATTCAGGCTGGCCTTGAACTTACTGTGTAGCTTAGGCTAGCCTCAAACTCACAACAATCCTCCTGCCTCAGCCTCTCAAGTGCTGGGATTACAGGCATGCACTACCACTTCCAGCTGTAACAAAATTTTAAAATCTAAACATCCATTATATACTTTGATTACCCCTTGTATAGGCATGAGGTACTTACAGGGTAAAGAAACTGCATACCCAAAATCAGAAGGTCTGAAGAGCAGAACGGCACTGATGTGGGGTAGATGATCAGCCCTCCCAGGCCACTCGGACACAGCGCTGGCTCTCACCGTCCTTGGATGTGTCCTCTGTTCTCTGAGGAGCACTTGTATGAGCTGTGCACAGCTACGTGTGTGTTTCTATTATTGGGACGTACGGACGTGCACACGGCGGAGTCTTCGTTCACAGTGAACTCCAGCCCCTGAGACCCTTCTTGAGTTCCAGACCTGGGGCTGTGGTTGAGTATCTTGTCGGGCTGAGGCCACCGTGAAAGATCTCAGAGAGCGGAGGGCCTGGCCACACTAGCATCTTGTCTGGGAGAAAAGCTGCCCTGCAGCTAACTCTCTCCCTGCTTCTCTGAGTTACAGGAAGCAGTCTGAAGGCTGTGTTAGTATGGATGGGAAAATCACTGAAACGTCTGGGGGCGGACCCAGCTAGTTTTCTCCAACCCCGAGCCCAGCTTGCACTAGCCTCCCCAGAACAGCGATGGGGGAATCCCTCTTGCCTCTGCTGCCTTCATAAAAGGCACAGGAGGGCTGGGGACTTAGCTCAGCGGCACAGCGCCTGCCTGGCAAGTGCAAGGTCATGAGTTCAATTCCCGGTACCGGGAAGAAAAAACAAAAATTATATTCAATATCATAAAAGGCACAGGAATCTTCCTGATGCTTCTACAGTCGAGAGGTTGAGATGAATATTTGCCATCACCTGAGCTTGTCCCATTGGGTGGGCCATGCTTAGCAGGTGCTCCTTACTGAATTGTTTAAAGATGCATAAAATGATATAATTGTTATTATTATAGAAGAACTCTGTGATGAAGGACAGAGGACTGGTTCAATACCATTTTAGCCAAACTGATTCCTTTACTTGTAAGCTTATATAGGCATCAGGTACTTACAGGGTAAGGAAACTGTGTATCCAAAATCAGAAGCTCTGAAGAGACAGAACGGCACTGATGTGGGGTGCCATTTTTACCAGAAAGAAAGATTCCAGAAATATCATGCTATTCTTGGCTTTTAATGGATTATAAGAGTAAACAGATCTCAAGAGTTACCAATATGTATTTTTTTTGTCTTTTTGAGACAGGGTCTTACCATGCAGTTCAGGCTGGTCTTGAACTCACTTTGTAGCCCAGGCTGGCCTTGAACTCGCAAAGGTCCTCCTGCCTCAGCATCCCGAGTGCTGGGATTATAGGTGTGCCCCATCATGCCCTTGCAAGAATTACGGATAATTTTGGTTCTTTAACAATCTTAATTGTTACGGCCAGGACTTCAGTGGTTCTAAGGTTTATATAGATAAAAATTGGTCATGGCCTTGACCCACAGGGATACTCTTAGTCCCCGCCTGTCCCAAGTTTTAGAAAAAAAATTCTGCAAGTAAAAAAAAAAAAGTACATAGACATTCCATTCATTTTTGGCTTCTCTTTGAAAAGTCTAGGTTCTGTTGTATCTGGGATTTGAAAAAATCAGATGGTTCGAAGGTACCTTAGGAGAATGGTTTAGAATTCTGTGTACTTTGTAAAGGAAAGCATGTGTTAAAGACGGTGTCTTGAGCTGAAGGCTGAAATCGGGACACATTCTTCTGTGCAGACTTTCTCATGGCCAGACTTCTCCCTTGGTACTGGTTTGGTTTTGGCTGCAAGGTTCTGATTAGTTTCATCTGCATAATGGGGTTGACTCGAGGCGGGTGAAGACTCTCTGTGCCCAAGATTTCAAAATATTTAAGCCCCTGCCAAAGAGAAGCAGAAGAGAAATAAACTCATGGCTGGATTGAAAAGTAGCTTCAAACAGCAAGGAATGAGAGAGATGGCCATGGACGAGTATCTGAGCCCCGTTTCCCAGCTGCGGACTGCTGTGTGTCTGCATTCCAGACCAAGAGATGGACCTTGTTGGGTGGTGCCTGAGACAAGCACGGGTCTTCAGAGTTGAGTGTGGGTGGGGACAGTGTTGGGCACTTCCCCGCAGTATCCCACCTTGAAGGGGACAGTAAGCATTGGAGGGAGTAGCATTTCCCACTCCTGATTCCTTGAGCCACGCATGGGTAAGGAGGTCAGAGTACTCTCTCCAGAGGTTGCAAAGAGAACCTTGCTTCCCGTGGTGGAGGAGCTGCAGCTGCAGACCGAAGGGTGCCTATTGATCCAGACCTCCAGAGTCTGTCGGTGGGGCTGGCTGGGTTTGAGCCTGGAGGAGTTGATTCTCCATTCTGCTGCCTTCCCACAGAGCCATTCATGCTGCAACCGTCTCATAATGTCTTAGTTCTCTGCAGTCATGGGAGGGTTTTAAGGCAGGGAGTGGAGTGAAGTACCCCTGTGTTTGAAATGGACCAGGCTGGCTGCTGGTTGAGTTTACAGGGGTTTCGGGGGAAGGAGAGAGAGCCCAGGAGAGTGGAAGGAGGACAGCCAGGGGCAGGCCCCAGTGTTACTGGGTGAAGGGCCTGCAACCAGGAAGTAGGAAGGACTAAAGTTATCCCAAATGTGTTTTGAAGGTAGAAGTGACAAGATTTTATGACATATCCCCTCTGGAGAGCAAGAGAAAGGGGTCAAGGATGATTGTGTGTGAGCAATGAGAAATCAGAGGTGCTCCTTACTGATACTGGGAAGACTGGAAGAGCAGGTGGATGGGCAATGTATTGTTTGTGTTACTCTGAGATTGCTATTACACACCCGAAGATGGTAGCGCAAGGAGGCTCTTGGCTGTGTGATTCTGTGGACCCTAGGCTTCTCGTCGCAGGAAGTAAAAAGCAGAAGCTCTTCCTCTCTTTTAAGCGATCCTTTTCAGGTAACCCTGTTGTAAATGAATGAGTTGTTTCAATACCCGGCAATAGAATCTTTTCTGACAGAACCACCTGTGCTTGGGACAGAGCCTCCACGGCCAGGTGTCTGGGAGGGAAGCCTCTGCAACAGAAGCCATGCCATGAGCAAGGAGGCCAGAAGGGAGACGCTGGAGCAAAGAGGGGACAGCCTGCAGAAAAGACCAGCTTTGAGGCAGTCTCTGGGTAGGGAGACCAAAGGACTGCTAGAAACGAAGCTTTTGGCCCATGGTCTGAGGCTCAGCTTCAAGCTGCTGCCTGGCTTTCAGCAGCGCTAAGATGTGCACGAGCCAGGCTCAAGATGGTTTTCTCAGCTACACATCTCAGAGACTGAAGCAAGTGCGAAAGTCCCCCAGAGAGTCTGCACAGTCTGTTAGCAGAGCTGCCCAGGGTGCAGGTGGGCTGTCGCCGTGGGCCCCTTCTGGCCTTAGCGAGATCGTCCCGTCCCCAGCATGAGTGAGCGCCGGGCTGCAGATCCGGCCTCCTCCTCTTCTTTCCGGATGTGACCCAGCTTTGATGGTGGATCCTCCCAGCGTGGGGAGACTGGAGTCCTGACTCTCACAGGGACCTGCTTGGAGCTCAATTGCTTCCCCGGCCTAACACCCAGGGGCTGGGCTGAGGCCTCATTCCTCGCCAGGAGGCGGAGGGAGGCCCAGAGGTTAGGTGTGGGGACCTCCAGCTACCTTCTGTCCTTGGCTGGCAATCAAAGGCTTTGTCTCCCCATCTGCTCAGAGCCCACCCAGAGGCCCCGGACTGTCTGCGAGCGCTGGAAGGAAAGCTTGCTGGAGCACTACGGCGGCGCGCCCCGGGATGACCAGTATGTGCCCCAGTGCGATGACCTGGGCCACTTCACACCCCTGCAGTGCCATGGGAAGAGCGACTTCTGCTGGTGCGTGGACAAGGACGGCAGAGAGGTGCAGGGCACGCGCTCGCAGCCCGGCGTCACCCCTGCATGTAAGTGTTGTCAACCCCGGGCTCCCCTCAGACACCCACGCGTCTCCGTAGTGACATGGCGCATGGCAGGTGGCAGGTGACGGCGGGGATGGGAGGGGTCGCCATGTCTGATGGAAGAAGTCACTTCATCCCTCCGCCCTGTTGGTTTGACAGCTTGTTCCCGGCACAGTCCCAGCTTGGAGTTCGTTTTGGTTTTGTCATTAGCAGTTGCTGTAATGAGAGCAGCTGGGACTCACTCCAACCTTCGTTTCCTCCCCTCCCCACCCGGGGACAGTGTCACCCTGCGGCCCCAAAGAAGTTTTATCCCTTCAAAAACAACCAAAAACCCCTTCTTTTCTTTGTTCTGAGGGGAGTGTTTTGTTGTCTTTCCTCCCTAGTAATTGGCAGTGATTTACATAATTGATTCTTGAAAAAAAAAAACTCTAGAAATTAGGATTCCTTTTGAAGAACATCTGGAGCACATCTGGTTAGGGTGAAGAACTTTTGATATATTTGGAGGCGCTGGTACGTGAGAAAGTAACTTGTCGTCCTCTCCCCGCCCGCCCTTGTTTCTCCTCCCCCTGCCCCGCACCCTCCTGCTTTCCCACGCGCAGGTATACCCACCGTCGCTCCGCCCACCGTCCACCCCACGCCGAGGCCTGATGTGACCCCCCCACCTGTGGGCACCTTCCTGCTGTATGCCCAGGGCCAGCAGATCGGCCACTTGCCCCTCAATGGCACCAGGCTTCTGAAGGATGCGGCCAAGACCCTGCTGTCTCTGCATGTAAAGTGGGGCTCTGGGGGCGGGGCTTGTAGGGCTTCTAAGAAAGTGCAGGGAGGCCCAGGGCAAAGGATTTCCCTCTGTGGGTCTGGCTTTCTTTCAGGGAGTGACATCTGATGGCCCACGGCCACTCTTCTGAGAGCTCGCGGTCATGCTTTGCGAGGCTGGGTGGTGATCCTGGGGTAGACTGGCAGAAGCTTAACCCAAGTTCCCGGTGTTCTTGCCATGTCAGACATCTGCAAGGTCCTGGAAGCCTAAAGGACAGGAGGTGGCAGCTACAGAGTGTGGTTTCCGGTGTCAGTGAGGGCCCCAAGTGGAAAGTAGACCTCCACAGCCTCGCTGTCCCTCCCTCCCTTTCCGGCTGTGTCGCTTTGGCTGGCCTCTTCGATTCCTTTGCAGTGAAGATTCGGGGAGGGTAATGCCGGGAAGGAGGGGCCGAAGCTTTCCCCTGGGAAGCTTGCTGCTTCGCCAGCAGCCTGTCAGAATTCAGAGAGATTTCTTCTGTAAAATGGGGTAAAGAGAAAGCGTTCCCCCAGAAAGACATTGATAGACACAGCTGGAATTTGCCTATTTCTAAAGCCTCTCTGTCACAATTCAGAGAGGGATTTCTTCTGTAAAATGGGGTAAAGAGAAAGGGTTCCCCCAGAAAGACATTGACAGATACAGTTGGAATTTGCCTATTTCTAAACTTACGCTCAGCATATTTGCTCATCCATGAGAAAAAGAGCACAGCCCCCGTGTTATTTACTTGTTAATGAGCCACTTATTTGATTCCCGACAAGCTTAACAGCAGCCAGTGTTCAGAAAAGGATGTATTTTCTTCTACCTTAAGATTAGAGGGATTTTCCCTCTCAGCAAACTCAAGCATGTTTTGTAAAAGTTTCTCAGAGGCAGAAACTGGGATGTTGCGGTCACCTCACGCTGGCCATCTTTTATTCTGGCTACATGAGATGGCTCCAAGGCATCTCTGAAGTGTCCCTGATGGGGGCAGAGGCTGGGGTGGCTTCGGTGGTGGAGCAGGAAGAAACAAGACATAAGTACAAGTACACTGTGGGAAAATTTACTCACACTGGGAATTTCTTTGTAAGAGACTCTGAAGTCATTACATAGGTTGTGGATATCATGGTTGCCTGGGTTAATGGAATCCCATATGAATGTGTATTCTTTCTTTTTTTTTTTGGTACTGGGAATTGAACGCATGACTTCGCACTTGCCAGGCAGGTGCTTATGCCGCTGAGCTATATCCCCGACCTCTTGAATGTGTATTCTTGCATGGAACTAATGATTTGCTAATTTTCAAGTAAAAGTATCGCTGATCTTAGGTTCCCCACCCTGTGTAAACTGCCTGCTTTTGCACAGCCTTAGTAATCTGCTGTGCTGATTGCTCTCTCAGTGGCCCAATTCAGGCGAAGCCCCAGGAGGCTCTGCTGGCCAAGGTGGGAGCTGACGTAGCCTCAGGGACCGTCAGATGCCCTCTGCATGTCTGCTTTGCATGTCTGCTGGGTCCCTCAGAGCAGGAGTCTAGGTTTGTAACCAAATAGAGCAAGTCCTCTGTGGAGCTGAGGGAAAGAATGTGCAGTGTCTGCATTATAATCAAAGATAATCATTATTTAGCAGTAAGAAAGGGGGGGAGACCTTGTCAGCCGAGGTTGGGTGGCCGCAATTTCCCAGTTCTTTACTGCATCAAATTACAGATTTTTTTTTTTTTATACAAAATACAACGGAAGACTTGCTTTGTTTACTGTAAGTGGGAGGATGGGTAATTGTACCTTAAGTAGGGCATAGATCTCAATCTGTTCACAGGGCAAGAGAAAAATGTTGAGAAATTTTAGAAAGGCTCTTTCAAAAAGTACCAATAACACTTGAAAGGATTTAGCTTTTGTTCAGATACTAAGGTCTTATTTTGCTGAACCGATGTCTTTTAATCATGGAAGGGGCTGACTTTTTTTCCCCATCAAATTACTGCTTTTACTACCACTGGCAGTAGCACTTATTTCATGGCCTTGCTGTATACTAACCACTGATTGACACTTTCTGTGCATTTATGGTATTAACTTTTGTAGCAGCAGAATTGAGGCTGCTACTGGCCTCATTTGCAAATTGAGGACACAAAGGCACAAAGAGGTTAAGTACTAGTGTCACAGAGTAAGTGGCCCACCTTTGACTCCAGAGAGGTCTCCGCTGCCTACGTAGCTAACCACTCTCTGTTGCCTACAAAACTCAGTGCAGAGTTGCTTATTGCAGCTACGCATGGACACGAACTTGAGGGAGATTCAAGAAAATCTCAGTCTGATTTTATGATTTGGTCCGTGAAGGGCTCCATAGTTGTGGGAATTGACTACGACTGCCGGGAAAGGATGGTGTACTGGACAGATGTCGCTGGACGAACAATCAGCCGTGCCAGCCTGGAGCCAGGAGCAGAGCCTGAGACTATCATTACCTCAGGTGAGTGGCTTCACTCAGCAGCGCACGCTTTTGTTATTTTACTAAGTCACTGGACGGTTTAATGCGGAAGTCTTCCCTCTTTTCATCTAACAGGAAGGTTAAGTTCTGTGCAAGTCATTTTATAGTGAGCTGTACAAGATTGGCCCCTCTGTGAACAAACATGTTCACACGTAAAGAATGTAAAGGTGATTCTGAGGATGATGAACTCTTCTTAAAAGAAAAAAAGTAAGAGTTCAGGGTCTGGGGGATAGTGGCAGGTTCTGCTGCCTGCCCAGCACCCTGCGTGCTTGGTGCCACCCGTGTAGTGGGTCTGTAAGTGCAGAGCTAGCGGTGGTAACCCAAGTAACAAAAGCATCGCTTTCTCTACTCACCTGGTTCTGGGGATTTAGAGACGCTCAGGCTCTTTTCTTTTTAAGCTGCTCAAACACTGCAGATCTCTGCTTGAGTTCTACACCCTTCCCACCCTGTGCTTGCTCCAGCTCCACCTTTGTTCCCGTTTCAGGTCTGATAAGCCCGGAAGGACTTGCTATCGACCACTTCCGGAGGACCATGTACTGGACAGACAGCGGCCTGGATAAGATAGAGAGGGCCAGGCTGGATGGCTCCGAGCGCAAGGTCCTCTTCCACACGGACCTAGTGAATCCCCGCGCCATCGCCGTGGACCCGATCCGAGGGTCAGCTGGGCTTCCCTCGGTCCCTTCCCTTCCCCAGAGATCCCAGTTGCAAGCTCATGGACATTAAACACAGCAGGGCGGGGGAGAAGGAGAGTGAGAGCTCCAATGCACTGACTGAGCAAATATGGGTTGAGGACCTGTTAGGCGTCAGGCACTCTTCCAGGCAAAGACAGGGTGTGTTCTTTCATGGAGTTTACATTGTTAGGAGAAAAGAAAACAGTGAACAGCTGAGAATCCTATGCAGCTGTGCTGTGAGGTGCAGAGTTCAGGTAGTGTGGTCAGAGGGCTGGGGGCTGTCTTACTATACAGAGTAAGTATACTCTTCTGCTATATAGAGGAAGTGGGTCTGCAGCACGTTAGAAGCCCTACTCTTCACCCCACAGCAGTGTTTCCCTCTGCCGTACTTGGGGTGAGTCATCAAAGCTCAGATACTGGGCACTTTATTCTTCTGTCCTGGTTGTGACTTCAGTGAAAGTCAAGATAAAATGAGTAAGACTTGGTCAGTGGAATGGGGTAGATTTTCATATTTGAGAAGCTCTCGCCATATTTAAGTAGAACTTCTACCCCGCAGAATTCCAGAGAAGCCCTTCAAATCGGTAACGAAAACCTTAAGCCAGGTGGTTTTCGACTTACAAGGACCAAGTGCAGGGCCTCAGAGTGGTCCGTTTAGGGGGCTTATTAGTTCTGATGCCGGGCGTACAACCAGAGGAAGCTGCCTTGGCCATGTGCTTCCTGGTTGAGAGGAAGAGGCACATTTTAAAGCTGAAATCCAGATCACAGCCACGAGTTTAAGATGAAAGCAAAGCATGTGCGAAGCCCTGGGTTCAAATCCCAGACACCCTCACAAAGATGAAAGCAGAACAACTTTGTTCCTTATCAAGACAGCAAACAGTAACACTAAAGGACTAATATAACACACGTAACTAAATCTTCCACCACTGCTCAAGGGCTTAGTTGTTAGATCTTCCTGTGTATCTCTCTTCCTATAAACCTTACTTTCTTCCTTAAACAATCCATGAGTAATTTGTACCGTATGATTTGGGTCTATGTGAGCTTGTTCAAGACTGTTTTCAGTATCTCAGATCATCCTTAGTGCTATACAGGTCAGATCAGGCAGAACGGCAGGGCAACCTCGTGAGCGTTTCCTTTCCTCTCACGCCTCTCTGGTTTTCTCTGTAGTTCAGCTGACACACTCTCAGCGTCCATTGCTTGTACAAAACACTACCTCATAAAAAGTGCTTTCAACATCTGCTTAAACTATGAACCTATGTCAATAGATTGCATTTCCAATTAATGAGAGCATGTATTGTAGATGTTAAATGAATATTTTGCACTTACGAAGGCATTTAAAACATAAAGTGCTCACTCAATGTCCACCTCAGGGCCCAGAGATTCTGCTTTAGCAGAGGTCACACTGTGTAACTCCTGGAAGACTTTCCTCTCACACCTCTGGCCCAAGTTCCATGGTTTCTAAAGCCACCTCCCCCACAACAACTTTATTTCTTTAAATTTTAAGCCAAAGATCTAGTTCAAGATTTCAATAAATTTAAGGGTGTCTGTGCAGTTGAGTCAGAGGTGAGGATTTTGATAGGGCTTTAAAATGATGACTTCTTCCACAGTTGGAAGTATCAGAAAACCTTGTGCTACAGGTAAAAATAGAACATGGCTGTGTCTGAGTTATCCACTGCTGTGTAACACACTGCTTAAAATCTTGGTGGCTTAAGAAGACAAACATTATCTCGCTGTGAGTCAGAAGTCTGGTGTGGTTTACTGAAGGCCTCTGAGCTCTCACAAGGATGCAGCTAAGGTACTGGCCAAGCAGGGTGACCTCAAAGCTCAGGGGCAGGCCCACTTCTAAGCACATTGTGTGTGCTGCTGCAGGCCTTGTGTCCTGGCTGGCTGCGGATTCCTGGGCAAATAAGTACCTTTTGTCTCTGTAGGCTAGCTTGCAGCGTGGCATCCGGCTTCTCTCAGTGGGAGCAAAAGGGGTTACAGAAGCCAGTGAGACCTAATGTTGGAAGTGATGTCCCATCACTGATGTCACATCCCACTCACTAGAAGCAAAACACTAAATCTAGCCCAAGCTCAGGGGCATTACTTAAAGCTAAGCATACCTGCAGATGGAAATCAGTGGTACAGCTACCATGGATGGATGGCTTTTTATGGGGGCAGCGGGGTGCTAGGGATCGAACCCAGGGCTTCCCACCTGTTAGGTAAGTGCTCTACCACTGAGCTGCATCCCCCACCGCCTGCACAGCAGCTATTCTTTTACAATCTAGATTTTTAAAAATTTACCTACAGCAACTTGTACTGGACCGACTGGAACAGAGAAGCTCCTAAAATTGAAACATCTTCTTTAGATGGAGAAGACAGAAGAATTTTGGTCAATAAAGACATTGGATTACCCAATGGGTTAACCTTTGACCCCTTCTCCAAACTGCTGTGCTGGGCGGATGCAGGTAACACTGACGAAATGCAGGGCAGTGGGTTTGCAGACAGAGCTTACCACAAAACCAAATTCTACCCTCTAGGTCTTGATTTAAGTTCATACCAGTACAGCAAATCGATTTGATCTGTAAGGTCAGAAAGAACAATTTTGTAATCACTTTTGGAAGTGGAGTAAAGGGAGACTGAATTAGGCATTTAGTCTGTGCTGCTCACCTGCTCCAACATGAGCACTTGGCATACTTGCATTTAAATACTAGCCACTGCTGAACTTACAGACCTAGATACATAGTGGTTATTTTGTGTTTTGGGCCAGTATCATAAACACTCCTTACTTAAAATTGGTATGTTATGTTGGTGCGGACAGTCTTTGAAAAGTGATGGCAGAATACCTTAAAATACATTTAACGCCCAGGTTTGGTTTTGTTGTGTGCTTTTCATTACAATACAGCAGGAACTCAGCTCACGAACACTTTTGTTTGCGAATAGTTTGGTTTGGCAGAATTGTTTTGCTTTGCGAAATCTGCATCAGGTGATAAACATGACCGTAGCCATCTATCCCACAATCTTGGAACAAATTAAGTTTGTGAACTGACGCACCTGAGTGCTACTGAACTAGAGATTAGTACTAGAACAGGACATTATAACTGCTTATTTGTGTGGCTGCAATGGCCGTGAAGTGTCCTGTTTTGTTTCTGCCTTTGTTTCCCTGGAGAATCTCCCACTAGCCTTTCTGGCACAGGAGCTGGGTTGTTTTCTGCCCGGGTCTCACTTCCCCTCTCCGTTGTTTTCAAAGGAACGAAGAAACTGGAATGTACACTACCTGATGGAACTGGACGGCGTGCCATCCAGAATAACCTCAACTACCCCTTCAGCATCGTCAGCTACACAGATCACTTCTACCACACGGACTGGAGGAGGTGAGTCGGGCACCCCGGGCTCGAGAGCACACTATGGGTTCGGCAAAGCCAACTTAGTCATGAGGCGCTTGGCCGAGCTGTTTCATTATCTCATCAGTATGTAACAGTCTTTAAGGGCTTACGACTTTAAAATCATGTATGTACTGTATTTGACCCAGAAATGTAATAGTGTTGCTCATAAGTAGCTGAAAGGAGCAAAGCTCTTTGATAATACACTATCAAGAAAAAGAAAGCACATTTTTCTAAATCTATTCTTTTTTGTTTGTTTTTCTCCGGTACCGGGAACCGAACTCACGACCTTGCGCTTGCCAGGCAGGCGCTTTGCCACTGAGCTAAATCCCCAGCCCCCTAAATCTATTCTTTAAACTAAAAAGATGTCCTCAATTGGTGACTAGTGGGTACTGTGAGGTTCGTTATCTAGGCAGGGGGTTAGAGTTGTTCTTTTCACCCTGAGGAGGGCTTGGGTCCAGTGTTGGTTACCCTTAAGAGTAGCTACGAGTTTGTATCTCTCAAATTAGCCACAACTTCTGAAGGGTAAACGTCAACACAGACTTGCTGTGTACCTGGGAGACTGAAAACACTATTTAGACTAGTCTCTAATGAGGATCTGGAGGACACTTTGAGAACAAAACAAAACTTCTAGGTCCTTCTACCCATTCCCTACAATTAACTGGCTTGGCATGAGGCTCAGGCATGTTCTTTAGTAGATGTTCATGTGCCTCTGCAAGCAGCTAGAATGGGGACAACCAACTCAAACCAGTGGTTCTGTCTTTAGTGAGGACCAGGATTTCCCAATACTGAACCGTAACGCTGAGTTCCATCCCAGGGTTTCTAGTGGGTAGGTTTAAGGGGGCCCTGGAACTTGCAAAGCCTACACGTTCCCAGGTGATTCTGCTCATGGGACCACCTTGAGAGTACAAACATTTTCCCTAAATCCAAACTCTTGGCTAAACTGATTTAAAAAATGTACTCTAGAAGGCTGGCAGAGATTTTTCTCTACTGAAAGTTTTTACTAGGTATAAAAGGTTGTATCTTCTATTTAGCAGTGACTCACTTTCCATGAATCCTCTCTTGCTGTTACCAGGGATGGTGTTATATCAGTCAACAAGGACAGCGGCCAGTTTATTGATGAGTATCTCCCCGAGCAGCGGTCTCACCTCTATGGGATAACTGTAGTCTATCCCTACTGCCCACCAGGTAAACAGACACGCTTCAAGAATCACCTCTGGATTGCCTAGCAGGGTACAGAGGGAGATCTGTAGTAACCCATTCCTCCTGCCGCTGCTGACACTGCTACCGCTGTCCTCTCCACTACTGAGCTTAATACATACAAGTAAAAAAGATGTTCCAACTTGGTTACAGGATATTCACCACTGATTGCCCTTTTCCCCCACAGGAAGAAAATGAATTCCGTAATGTAAAGAAGGACCTGATGTTTACAAGCAGAATCTTGACCCTAATGAACATTTACTGCAAAGGAAGAAAGTGAAAAAGAAATTGGTCATTAGAAGTTCCTAGACATACAAGATGAACATTTTTAGTGCAAAAAGACTAAGTATATTTTGTGAAAAGTTTATACCTCAATCTTTACTACTGTATTTTTAAAAACAAAAGTTGTTAATGGAAATTCTTTAAAAAGGTCATTTTAATAGTTGCTTATTAAAAGCAACATCTTGTGAACATATTTAAAAGGCCAAATTCATTCAAATAAGAATCAATTAAGAACATAAGAACCTGAACCTTGTTTTTCCTATGATTTTTTCTGGCCAAGAAATGAGAACACATGTGTTCAGTATAAAAATACCATCCCGAATACCATCAGTGTTGATGTAGTTAGAGAAGGTTATGCAGAACTGATGGGAAAGAACCAACTTACAGTTTCCCACCAGAAGTTCTAAGTTTTCTTACCTCTGCATCAGTGCATTTCTATTTATATTACAAGGTGCTAGAATGATTCAATTTGTATTTTCCGATCCCATAAGTGCCTCTACGGAAGTAGCCACAGAAACTATTACATTTATAAATACCAAAGAGTAGCCATTCTCAAATTTTCTAGATAACTCCAATAAAGTATTTTAAATTTTTCTATGACTTAAAGATTTAAATTGTCTCTGTGAACAAAGCTGGGGACTGGTACACACCTTAGCCATGGAGGAAGCACTAACTGTACAAATATGTAGCAATACACTGTTAAAGAAACCCCATGTTCCACTTTCTTAAACTTTATTAAAGAAAAAAAGTAACCGTGGTGGTAAATTTCTAGAACACAGTCAATTTTCTGGGATTCCTCCCTCCAAAGTGAGATTTGATTTCCAAATACATGCCAGAAGTGTATAGTTCCCAACTGTACTAAGTAGGTAAGAGGCTGACGTCTAAAGTGTTCATCTTCCAACTTTCCCCAGTCTGTGGTCTGTCTTTGGATCAGCAATAATTGCCTGAACTGCTACTATGGCTTCGTTAATTTTTGTCTGTAGCTCTCTGAGCTCTTCTATATGCAGCAATCGCAGAATTTGAGCAGCTTCATTAAGAACTGCATCTGTTTTGTAAGAAAAGAACACTACATTAATACATGATTTTTGTATTTTACTTTATTTCTGAAATCTTTTAAAATATAAATAGTGTGAATTAAACAAAATCACTTACCTCCTGTGTCAAAACCAAGAATATGTTTGTCTAAAGCAACAGGCAAACCCTTTAAAAAAATAAAAAGGCAAGATGAGACTACAGTTAAGAATACCATTTTTTTTTTTTTTCATCTGAAACTGTAAAAAACGACTAGCTAGTTTAATTCTTAGGAGCAGTTGAGTGGGCAGGGATGTAAGAATTTATTTAAATCTGACTTGTGGTAATCAAGTGTTCCCTTACTAAAACCAGTTAGGAGGGGCCAGGCATATAGCTCAGCAACACTGTGCCTGCCCAGCAAGCACAAGGTCCTGAGTTTGAGTCTTGGTACCAGAATCATCATCACCATCACCATCACCATCATCAAAAACCAGCTAGGAAAGAATGGCCTTTACATGTACTGGAAATTCCATGGCCGGTCCAATCCTTTAGATCAGGTATACAAAATAAATCCTTACTGTAGCGGTGTTTTGTCACTTCCTGCCATGAAAGGAGAGCTGAGGAGGGCTGTTACTGTCCCATTTTAGCTCAGTAAACAAAAGTGTAGGGCAAATGAGACAGTGCTACTTTTAGTATTACTGTCACGTAAATATATCTCTGAAAATTTGTCTTTTTAAAAATGACACAAACCTAATACATAATACATTTTTTCCCCAGCTACCACACATACCAGATTATATGTAATTTAACTTTCAATAGTTCATTTGGAGGTTACTTTGAAAGTCTAGGAAATGAGAAAAAACAAAGCCATTTATTCACCTAACCAATCAGCACACATGCTGACTACCAACTGTAAAGACTCCACAGTAACTGTCCCAACTCAAGGACAGGCAGTCCAGACTTTCTGATTACACTATCTAAAATCATTACCAGTTCCACAGACACACACATCCTATACTTTTCAGTATTACAAGCTATCCCTATGCAAAGACTTTAGTCACTACTGACTTCTTGCCTAATCTATAAATGCAAATATACCTAGGTACCATCTGTTTTCAAGTAGCTAAGAAATATATTCTATCAGTGATGAAACCATGGGGATGAATGCGCAGTGAGCAAAGTAAAGAGCAGCCTTATTCTGAGTGGTGCTCTATCAGCCTGGTACCAGAGGCTCCAGTTTTCCCTGCGTCTGCCAATCAACCATCTACCAGTGAAAATTACCACATATCAAGGGTTGCTTACGAATGGTTACGAACACTGGTTAGCAAACTCTAAGAACTTCACTACATTAGTACAGGCTGGTATCTTTTGAGAGGACACTGAAATTAAGATTTGGAACCCCAAAAATAAAACTAAATTTTTCCTTGCCATCAAGATTTGAGTATGCTTTTATTTGTACTGCCTTTGAAAGTGAAGACATAGTTTTGCTGAACGAGATCAATGATTTTATTATACCAGAACAATTTACTGTCTGTTCTATAGTGTGGGTGAAATAAGCTGATCTTTAATCCAATTTCCACTGGCCTAACTCATACAGTATTATTGAGTCAATAAAGAACCTTCAGAAGAAAATAATGTCTTTCATGCAGTGCTGCCCTAGCATTAGGAACCTTTCAACACTGCTGGGCCTTGCTAAAGGGGTCAGAGGACAAGACATTGGGAGGGAACAAAAAAAAGACAAATGGGTCCAGAATGGGAGTTGTGCCCAAGGCACTTATTCATCCCACATCTGCGCTGCACAAGGAGGTCACTACCAGACACCTACAGTGTTACCGCTAACCCTTAGTCAATGAGGCTTTAAAAAAAACTGGAACTTGGAACTCTGATGTAATCTTTTTTTTTTGGTACCGGAAATTAAAACTCAGGACCTTGCACTTGCCCAGCAGGCACTTGTGCCACTGAGCTATATCCCCAGCCCATAATCTTAAGATAACCCAGAAGTACGGTTTTACGGAAAAGAAAGTTTTGTAAAATGGTTTTATAAGCCTGCAAAGCATGACTGCAAGGTATTTTTCAGTCATGTGCACCCTGGACCGCATCCCCCTACTGAGCCCCGACTCTGTCACCTGGGCACAACTACAGCTTAGGGCCCTGGCCTCTGCTCACCGTGACAGCACCGGCTCCCAAATCAGCCTGCGCTCAACCATGCATCCACCAGGTGACCTTAACACAAGTTACTTCCTCGTGTTTTATGCCAGGGAACTGAACAAAATGAGATGATTTACTCTCAAGACTCAAAAGAGCAAGAGCAGGATTTAGGTCAAAAAAAGAAATCAGTAACAGGGAGGTGTGTACTCAGCTCTCCACCACTAATCAAAATAACCCAATAAATGTCACAAGGGTAACTCCAGTTTCAACTGGGCATGTGCAACAGTTTCTAACTGTGGATGACCGTTCAGTAGCTTCTTTTAAGGGATGAAGTGAGATAAAGTTCACTTTTCCCCAAGACACTCAGCAACTGGATACATTCAGTTAGCTTTGAACCAGAATCAACTGCACTGAAGGAAGCCATCCTTTCTCTGGGCTGTTCTAACACAGGATGGAACTCTTGCACACACATTCACGATATTTAAACTAATGGCAAGACCAGAAAATATTGTCATTAATAACTGATTCGGAATTTTAAAAACATACATACCTCTTTTGTTTGATTTGCTTTGGCAACTGCATCCTGTGTTAAGCGCTCCTGAACCAAAATGCGAATTGCCTAAGAACCCAAAAATACTGTGTTTACTTTTCACAGGCTGTTTATAACTCATCCTTTCTTCTCAGAATCTACAGAAGATATTCCCAATAATTAAAAACTTTTTGGGTAAGTAACACATGTGCATGGTTAAAAGAGAAAATTAAGAATACACAAGGTACATGGTAAAAGGTAGGTGTCCTTCCTCCCCTGAATGTAGCCATCCCTCTAGAAGATACTGTTACCAGATTTTTATGTTCCTTTACAAATACTATTAAAGTCCAAGTATGCTTCTGCACCTACACACAGCCTTTGCCACAAAGAACATTACATTTATTTTGTTTGTTTTTGGTACTGGGAATCGAACTCAGGACCTTGTGCTTGCCAGGCAGGTGCTTGTGCCACTGAGCTATATCCCCAGCTCTGCCACAAAGAACAGTGTATGGACTACCTTATGTCTTGCTTCTCCCACTACACGCTAATGAAGTTTTCAGACATCTCAAAGGAGGTATTTGTGCTTTTGTTTTTTTTGGTACTGGGACTCGAACTTAGGACCTTGCACTTGCCAGGCAGCACTGCACCACTGAGCTATATCCCTGGCCCCTTATTCTTGATTTTAGCCACTAAGGCATTTTATACATATACACTATTGCAGGTGTGTATGTGTACTTACATGATTTTTAATGAAAATGAGATAATTACAACTCAAAAATATATATGAAAACTTTTTTCTATTTTTTTTATATGTGAAAACTTTCAAAAATTAGTTTTTTTTTTTTTTTGGTACTGGGAATCAACTCAGGACCTTGCACTTGCCAGGCAGGTGCTTGTGCCACTGAGCTGTATCCCCAGCAAAATTTAGTTTTAATAAAAATCAAATGCTAATAGTGAGTGACTGACAAAGAGTTAATGTACTGGTTCTCACACCTAGCAACCTAAAATACTCTCCATATTATGAGGCATTACCTCTGTGCTTTATAAAGTACTCCAAAGAGGATAAACATGTAGCTAGGATTAGAATCTTACAAAGCTTTTTTTTTACAGCTGATGTATAATTTTTCACACGGGGTTTTCAAACCTTTTAACAAAGGCATCCCAAACATGCTATCCACTATCTGTTTCTCCTCTCATTTAGTTTACAGTTAAAGCTGACAGGACTACCTTAGAACTATTCTTAGGAAATTTACATAACTGAGTAAGGAACAAGCCTTTGAAGCAGCTAAATTTCAGTACAAACAACTTTTATCTTTAGGTAGCCAATGTGGGCTGAGAAAATCCAAGTTAACATTCAGAGTCAGTGTAGAGAATTATAATAAGCTAAGAATAGAATAGTATTTCCTTTGTTAAAACTGCCATTTAATGCATAAACTTTCTAAGAAGTGGGCTAAAATATCATGTAATCTCTTCTGCATACAGTGAAGTTTATTCAATTCAGTATTACGAAGTAAAATAATTTACATGTACAAGATCTATTCAATCTCTTGCTAAAATCAGTAATTTCTAAAATAATTTCCAAGTTTGGTTCTTAGATACCACATCCCTGATGTGCCTGCCCTGTATTTCCACAATTATATAAGGAATAAATCTTCTGATGGTGGATTTATTTCCCAGAGATTCTAGGTATAATATGTTTTTTACCGAGCTCCCCATTACTAATTTGGTATATTCCACTGTTAATAAATATAATCCATGAATCTTTAGAAGGAATGACCAAACAGAAGAAATGTAGGGGAAAAAGTGGACCACAGGGTCACAGGGGTTGGACTTAGTTCTTGCCTGTGTCATTCTGAACACTATCTATCCTGTCTTCGTTTCTTCATATGCATACTTTTTTAAAGAGTATTAAC